ATTTGAGCAGGACCTGAATGAATTGAGGGATCAAGTCTGGTGAATATCTAGGCATGGGCCTCCCAGGTGAGGGGATAGCAAGTGCAAAGGCCCTGAGGAAGCACTTCAGGAGAGGGGTCCACAGAGCTGGCGAGGACCTTGAGGGCCCTGTAAGCACGCTAAGAAGCTTTCAAAATGTTGTGAATAGAGTCCTGACTTTTAAAAACATTCTGACTGCTAACTGAGGGGCAGGCTCCCGGAGAGCAGAGTTGGACACAGTGGACTTGGTGGAAAGGAGCTGATTACTGTAATTGTGGAGGTGCTGAGGTCCGGCAGAGGTCATGTTCTGACTGGGGTGTGTGTGTGTGGCAGAGGGGTGTGTGCATATCGGCATGCACGCCGCCCTCCTCGGAGGGAGGGGGGGCTTCTGGTGGGGGAGACCTGGCTTTTGGCTGCATGAATGTGCCATTTAGCCATGACTGAGTTGGTGAAGCCTGGAGGGGGCTTGGGGCAGCCCCCGAGCTGAGTTTGGAGCTGGGAGGTTCAGGATGGACACCCCTCAGTCCTAAGAGGACCCTCAGTGAGCTGGGTCTGGGTCCCGGGGTCATGTGTCAACTGAGCAAGAAGCCGGCCGTGTCTCCTTGTGCTGTGAGGGGGCCCAGCTGCTCATGCATTTGACCCTGGAGCTTTTCCTAGTCAGAGGGAGATGCATGCACATCATTCCTGACCCGTGTCTGGGAAGGCAGGTGATAAATGTTCCCTTAGTACTACTTTCCTAGGGCTTTTTGGTTTGATTGCAGGCATTTTAAAACATGTACGTAAATAGGAAAATAGCAAAAATAAAGTAAATAAAACTAATAAAATAGGGAAATAGTAGGAAATACATTGAGTAGACACTATAATGTATGGTAAATATAGTAATAGGTAGCAGTCGTATTATGTACCATAAAATAGAGTCTCGCACCTTCACGCACTCATTATAAAGCAAATCCAAGCATTGTGTCATTTCCCCCCAACATGACTTTTCTGATATAGCAGGGACTAATTCAAGGGCCCTGCTCCTTGAGCCCCAGCGACTTGAACTTGGAGCTCGGGGACGTTGACTGCAGATCTGAGGCCAACGCATGAGTCACCAGAGAAGCGTGCAGGCCCGTGGGCAGGAGGGTGGAGCGGAAAGGGTGGAGAGAGAGGACCGTTTTCCTGGAGGCGCAGGTGAGGGGCGTGTGTTTGGGGAGCAGGCGCTGAAGAGCGCCAGGCACGTCTGAGAGGCAGCGGGCCCGCGTGTGGTCACCAACTCACCTGGGTGTGGAGGTGAGTGACAAGCCTGGAAGGGCAGGTGGAGACCAAGTCGTGGAGGGCTCTGAATGCCAGGGCAGGGAAGTCGAACTTTTGCTGATTTAAAAGCAGCGAGCAGGGGCGCCTGGGTGGCTCAGTCGTTAAGCGTCTGCCTTCAGCTCAGGTCATGATCCCGGGGTCCTGGGATCGAGCCCCACATCGGGCTCCCTGCTCCGCGGGAGGCCTGCTTCTCCCTCTCCCACTCGCCCTGCTTGTTTCCCTCTCTCGCTGTGTCTCTCTCTGTCAAACAAATAAATAAAATCTTAAAAAAAAAAAATAACAATCCTGTGCCTAATTGAACAAATTAAAAAAATAAATAAAAAAAAATAAAAGCAGTGAGCAACACTGCAGAGTTTTGAGCTGGGCAGTGACCTGACCTCGAAGGACAGCTTTGTGAGCCAAGGGCCCACTCTGGCACGGACGGCGGGCGGAATCAGTGATCCCACGGCTGCCGGCAGCCAAGGCCCGGTGCACTCTGGGTTTGGAAAGAAGTGGTTAGCAAGGGGGTAGAGCACGGAGCATTTTGCCGGCCGCTGCCTCCTGGGCAGGTTCCTGGCGGTGCAGAGCTGCTCTGTGAACCCTCACCCCGATGGTTATCTGGTCAGAGAAGGTTCCAGATTCTAGGGGGAGAGAGTCTGCCAGGCTTGCCCGGCGGGGGCTTGCTGCCCGCTTTGCTGTACAATAACATCCCCGAGGGGCAGGGGTGAGGGTCAGGCCTTGTCCGAGGACCGTCTCCCACTGCCCCTGAAGGAAAGTGGCCATTCTGGGCTTCACACAGGGCACTGAGCTCCATGGGACAAATGCCCCCCCCGGCCCGTGGAAGGGGCAGCGTGAATAGTGCATTGAGGCTCGGTGGCTGTCTCGTAATCACTTCGGTGCCTTGGCATCATTCTGGCTCATGAAGTGAGGTTGTCAGAACGGTACACTTAGTAGCTTATCTGCTCCTTGAATGGCACCCTCTGTGTGGGTCTCTGTGTTTTTACAAGGACTGCAGATCTCTTTATGTAACTGCTAACATGCTTTTTGGCTCTCCACTGGCTCAGTGTAAAAACTATGTCCCCATCCACACTAAACAAAAACAGTGATCAGTCTCCAAAAATTCCAGTGGCATCCGGTGATGCTTTTGCCTCTGCCCGCCGCTAAGGCCCTGATTCACCCCCAAGCTACCTTCTCGGTCGTGATAGGGAATGCAAGAATCCGATCGCTCTTAGCATGTTTATCTCTAGTTTTATCTGCCAACCTCCAGATTCTTCCAGGTGCTCGTTGGGAAGCTGTGTCCTGTTCTGTAGGTGCCTCAGGTGAGCTGCTGGCTCCCGCTGTCCCCGCCCGGGATAAAATCAGCCCCATCCGACCAACTTGCCCTACAGGACTTCAAGGGAGGTGGGGCTCATGCAGGGGCCCCCTGCCCATCGCCGTGTGCACCTGCACCCCCCTCACCGGGCCTCCACCAGGTAGCTAGTCAGGCTCCCCCAGCCAGCCTCGGGGTCCTCGGGGCCGCACCAGCGTGGGAGCGAGGGCACCGCTTCGCAGTAATGTCTCATGACGGTGCCCATTTCGGCTTTTCCTTTAAACCGTCTGTGAAATAATTTCTTCTGGCTGTTAGCGGAAAATCCGCTAATACGCATTGAAAAGGAGGTGGGATGGCAGGTGCGCAGCCCCTTTCTAGTTCTGGGTCTGTCTTGAAGCTCAGGCAGAATGGACTCCCCTGGGAAACGCCTGGACCCCCTTTCCTAAAGCACACCAGGGGTACTGGGGTCCGTGTGTCCTGAATAGGAATGCCAGAACGAGGAGCACATGTGGGTGCAGGGACGTGGGGTGGGTGCCGCAGGAAGAGCATCCTTTGGTGCGAGTATGGTCCAGAGCACTTGCCCTCGTGCTCACCCAGTCCTCGGAGCAGCTCTGCACTTGGTGGGGGCCCCTCACAGATTTCACAGCTAACTGGCTTTACCCTCCATCCGACCCCCAGTTTCTTTGGCTGTGTCTGAATGTCTGCTCCTTCCCCAGGAGGCACAGTCAGACTGAGAATCTTGGGTAGGAATCATCATTAAATTTGAAAGTCCACTCTGCCAACAGGTTATGGGCTCAAAACCATCCTATAGCTCCCCTCCCCGCTGCCTGTCCTCCCCAAGCCCCACTCCCCATATACGAGTCCCGTTTCCAGCCAATGAGACTCGTCTTTCAGATCCAAAGGATTTTCACTTTCTCTCATCTCAGTGATGTAGCTTAATGTCACGATTCCTTTTTGGAGCTGGGCTGCCCAGAGGTGGGCTTCGCTTGCATTCCGGTGCCCGCCGTCTCTGGCCCGGGAACCGGTCTCTGCGTCCAGCTCCGTGCCACCTTCCCTCCGGGATCGTTCCAGTGAGGAATGTGGTGTTCTGTGGGAGAGAAGGAAAGAAATCCCGCTGGCCACTGTCAGCGATCATCCTGAGCCAGGACGGGGACTGCTGAGGCCCTGGCTGTCATGGTCAAGCCGCGGGGCTCGACATTGAGCCTCTGCTCCTTGTTGCGCGCACCTTACACGGATTATCATATTTATTCTTCACACCAATCAATCAGGACGGTGCATGTGACAAGTACAGAAACTGAGGCGTCGTGGAGTTAAACGTTGAACACCAGACATCCCCACGAATGGTGGCATTTGGAGGCAAGGCTGGGTGTGCCCTCTGCACGGTGGCACTCAGCCTCGGCTGCTGCATGCGGAGCGTGGGGGAAGGGCGGCCGTGGACCGACTAAGTCACCCCCCAGTGCAGAAGGCGGTGTTGGGCCCTCCAGGTCCCTCTGATGAGCGAAGGTGACACACCTGGGCCAGAGGCCACCTTTCCAGCCGTCTCAAGGAACAACCCGAGACCGGGTTACGTGAGCCATGTTACAATGGCGTGAAGTTTGCCTGCCCTCAGGTTGCTCTCTGCCCGTTTCCCTTGAAGGGCATGGGGAATTCGCTCCTGCCCGCGGGCCGGTGAGGGTCTGCCCACAGCCAGTCATGTCACCATCTCCAGAGCCCCCCTCTCTGCCCCTTCCAGAAAGAAACAGGCCTTGGAGCAATGATTCGTGTACTCCGTCCACAGAACCTTTCTCCGCGGCTGCACCTGCGCATGGTACCCAGGGATGACCTAGAGGCAGAAAGGGCAGCGTGTTTATTTTCCTTAGGCTTGTTGTTTGTTAGGGCTCCAGGGAGGATTTCAGGGGAGTGTGGGCAGGGAGCAGTCCCCTCTGACCCCGCCGAGGCTGGGCCGCAAGAGGCTCAGTGCTGAGCGCCCCTCTTCCAGATGTGGGGGCCGCAGCTGGGGCTGTACCTGTAATGGGACCAGCAGACAGATTTAGTTCTTCTTTCCTGAACCCTGAAACTGTACGGATCCTGTTTGTCCTCCTTTTTCACTGTGATGAGCAGGCTGGCCAGGTGCTGGTACAAGTTTCCCAAACCCCATGGTGCCCCAGGGAGAAGGGGTGCAGACAGCAGGCCAGGAAAAGCAGCCTGGCTCTGTGCACCAACAGAACCGATGGGATGAGCATGAGGTGCACAGAGACTCCAGGGAGCGAGCCCTACTCTGCTCTCCTGGGCCAGGATGAGTGTCTTTATTGGAACAGCCTCTGGAAGAAAGAGCAGTCCCACTTCCTATAAAATTACTGTTCAACCCATGTTTCACTTGCTCATGGGAAATTCTCGTGTTTTCTTCCCCCGCTTTCAGGAAGAAGCACATTGCCAAGTTGACCCCATCGTGCAGCATGGTTGCCTGAGAAGAGCTTCAGCAAGCACTGGGATACCTGGAGGAAGAGAGATGAAACCTTAGCCATCCTCCCAGGAAGAGAGTCCAAGATGGCAGCTCAACGGATCCGAGCTGCCAACTCCAGTGGCCTCCCTCGGTGCAAGTCCGAGGGGACCCTGATTGACCTGAGCGAAGGGTTTTCAGAAGCGAGCTTTAATGATGTCAAAGGTGAGCTCGCGGGGCACCTGGGTGGCTCAGTCTTTAAGCGTCTGCCTTTGGCTCAGGTCATGATCCCAGGGTCCTGGGATCGAGCCCTGTACTGGGCTTCCTGCTCAGTGGGGAGCCTGCTTCTCCCTCTCCTTCTGCTGCTCCCCCTGCTTGTGCGCACGCACTCTCTCGCGCTCTCTTTCTCTCTGTGTCAAATAAATAAATAAAATCTTAAAAAAAAAAAGTGAGCTCACGGGGACAGAACTGTGGCTAGAGGGGGTGGATGGCGCGGCAGATCGGGATTTGCAAGTGCTCTGAGACCGAAGGGCTTCTCCACCTTCAAGGCTGCCAAGTTCCCAGACAGTTAAACTTCAGCTCTCTAAACTTGATTGACGATAAATCCAGCCCTAGAACAATAACCACTTGTCTTGTTTTGGTTTTTTGGTGTGTTGGGAGGTTTTGAATGTTCCCCTTGGTAATGCAACTTCATACAGAATGTGTTTGTGTTTTCTCTTTTTGAGAGTTTTGGTGACATTAAGGTAGGGAGCTGGGTGCTCAGGATACTAGGGGGAAGGAGAGAGTATGGTCAGCCAATGAAATATTGAGAACCGCTAGAGAGGAAAAGGTGGTCTGAGAGTGGGGTCAGCAAGCTTCTCCTGTAAAGGGTCACCCAGGAAATACTGCAATTCTTGCAGGCCCTAAGGGTTCCATTACAGCTCTTCCTCTGTGCTGGTGCAGCTCGAGAGCAGTCAGAGAAGACAGTAAGCAGTGGACACGGCTGTGTTCCAATAAAACTTTATTTACAAAAACAGCAAAGGGGCCGTTGTTTGCCGACCCCTGCTTTAGAGGTGGCCCTGGAGTGAATCACCCTGAGCCTCTGGTTTTCTGTAACAGCCACATACAGCTAGGTCAGTGAGATGGGTGATGGGTACTGGTGGGTCATTTTCTTCCTAGAAGTCCCCTCTGACCTTAGTAGGTGCTTGCTGGTGCGTCGTGATTGAAGCAGCAGCATCCGGCAGCTTCCCTGTGGCGTTTACTGCAATGTGTTGAAGTTAACTGCTGGGCCATCCAGAGTACAAGCTGAGCGGTGGGAGCTGCTCTTGACCTTTGTATCTTGAGCCCCTGACACAACGTCAGTGCTAAATAAATAGTCCTTGAACCAAACTGCTGTCTCCCAGGTAACATCGTGGCCCTCTTCCCCGATGTCCTAAAAACGATATGCACCCCGTTTGTCTCTTCCGAATCTCTTCTCCTGTCACTGTATCCTAACTTCTTCCTTTTCCTGTTGGTGTTTTATGCTTGGAGCCCTGAGCATTGCGTTAAATGTTCTTCACACGAACGGACTTGGCAAAGGAGGTCATGAGATTTTATTAATAAGAGCAGCAGAGTTACCAGGTATTGCCATAAATAATGGGACCCTTCATTTTTCACAGTCCAGTAATGGGCATCGTTTTCTTACTTTATAGCCCAGCTAATTATGGTTAAAGCTGGAAAATGGGAGCATCATTTGTGGGATTCGGGCTGGGGTCTTTTTAAGTAATGATGACGATCTGAGAGGTGTTAGGGTACTAACAGAACACCACAGTTTCCCACAGTTGTGGGAAAAAGACAAATGAGATCACCCGGGACACGAGCTGCGGCTGATTAGCCAAGGGCGCGATGCCCACGGAGCCCCCGGACCCACTCGCCAAGGCAGCTCTCCAGCCAGGCAGCTGCATGCGCGACCCGATGGTCAAAAGGCTTCAAGGTGGGGATTTATTCCAGCCAAAACATCCACTGCGAAGTCCTCCACCTCCTCATTAGCGTTCCACCTGCAGCAGAACTGAGGCAAAGGGGTAAAAATTGTATTACTCAGTGCACTCAACTTCCTGACACGCGGGGATTTTCTTTGTATTAAAATCCAGGATAGCTGTAAATCTGGGCAGCACTCCTCAGAATTCATTAAGATGGGATTTGATAAGGATCCTCCTGCATTTGAGTGGATGGATGCCCCACCTGGTGTCCCCGGGTGCCCAGTGACAGGTGACTGATGGAGGGACCCGTCTGGAGGGAGCTCACACCAGAGTCCTCTTCCACGGGGTGGCCCTGCAGGGAGGAGTGCCATTTCCCATTGGATGAGCCTGATCCTTGAGTGAAATGAGTTAACTGCTTCTCTGCTAAGGAGAGTGCTTGGAATTTTAAGTGAAACCATTTTTATTCTTCAGCCTGGTGAAACTAAAGTGGTAATTTGCATGGATACATTTTCGTGGGCTATATACAAAGCCTGCTTAATAGCTTTGGGTTTTTAATTTTAAAAATATCACTCTAAGGGAATTGTTCTGGGGAACATAATAGGGATATAACTTCTGAGGGATTCTAACAAGATTTTAATAGCTGGCAAGCTCTCTGATTTTCATTTGGTTTTAATTTTTATGTGACATTATCATTAGATGTGTCAAAGAAACAAAAAGTGGTTTATATTACTGGAGACAGTGCCTGGAAAACAAAGCGAGAAAGATCTTGTTGTCCCCTGACCCCAGCCTGACCCATCTCCCTCCCCCCACCCCACCTCTCCCTCAAAAGCATTCTCTTTTTCTTGGCTGTTTTATTCACTCCCCTCCCTTCACTGTAAATGATTCCTCTTTGGGGCACAGCCAGGGAGAACACCTTGACCCCATAACATGGATATGGCCTCTCTGTAGTGAACGAACATTCATTCTAAGAATATTTGTTGAACACCTGCTATGTGACAGGCTGTCTTCCAGGATTACCACTGTGAGCAAAACAGACATATGAATATCGGTTAATGATAAGTGCCATGGAGAAAATAAAGTGAGGAGGGGGGTGGAGATGTCCACTTTAACATAACCCTCTGTGAGTCCTTACCTGGGGCTCAGCATCATTATGCTAAGGACACGATCAGAACCTTATCTTCAGCAGAGCCCACTGAGGAAAGACTCTCAGACTCCTGAGGCCACACGGCTTCTAAAGGCCTGGATCACAGCCCAGGCCCAGTGAACCCAGGGCCAGATTCCACCCCCCAATACCCCACACGGAAGATAGGAGGTGACAGCCTTCACGGCCCAGGCGAGCTTTCCGCCAAGCATATCCCTCTAACCTGGTTCATGGAAATAAAGAGAAACTTCCTGCTTTATTTCCCAAGACTATGCTAAGGAACTATAATTCAATTTGCATTATTTCGTTTCAACGGAAAAAGAAACTGGCAGATGGTATTTTTGGAGGGCCAGTTTGATAGAACAGAATGCGTATTGACTTAATCACGTATTAGAGACAAAGCGGGGGTAGTCCCACTAAAAACACAGTCCTTTCTTACAGTTGTTAGTTACAGGACCTCAGAATATTTACAAATTCTGTGAAACAAGGCACAGTTGGGGTGGGGGCTTATTACTCTCCGAAGGAACTTTCTTCATCCTCTGGATATACTTTGTCGTGTATGAGAGGGAGAAAAAACACTTAGGTATTTAATTATCCGTTACTTTTCAAAACACACACCCCTGGTTGAGATGACTGACTTTGACCTCTCCGACTGCTGTCTACATGGGTAACATAGCTGAACGCCACGAACCATAAATTAGCTCGAGTCGCTGTTTAAAGCTTTGGGGTTTTTCAGACTTGAACGTTGGCTCAGAAATAACGTGAATGACACCAAACGTAAAACCGTTGCTTTTCAAGGTACGCGGGGGAGGCGGTTTCCAAGTTGTCATCCTGAGTGATCATTTAAAGGAGGCTGGAAGAGGCTAGCCTCAAAAGGCATATTTTGGTGAAGACTGGGTTCAGCTTGTCAAGGGAACCTTCCCCCACCCCGTTCGTGTGTTCTGTGTTGAGGGCAGAGCGGGGCACCAGCTCAGAAACACTGAGAGCTGCTTTGGAAGCTCTTCATTGCCCGTGCCCGGCTACAGGCGGTGGGTCACTCTGCTCAGAACGTCACTGTGGCTGAGTCAGTCACACTCAGCTTGTCCCTCTACCTGGCGGCAGCTCTGGGAAGTTAGGTACAGTAAAGAGAGGGCCAGTCAAAATGAGACGGTATTTGGGGCGCCTGGCTGGCTCAGTCGGTGGACCTTGCGACTCTCAATCTCGAGTTTGGGGGTTAGAGCCCCACGTTAGGTGTAGAGGTGACCTAAAAATAAATGCTTTAAAAAGAATTCTTTAAAAATGAAAAACATTTAAAAATGAGACGGCATCTTAGTGATCCCGCTGTGCTGAGTTAGAGGACCGCCGTGCTGGCCCTGCTGAGCGAAGCCAGAGTTTGCTTCGGCTGGTTTCTGCTAGTTGCCTGGCGCCCTGTGCACCTCGCGCAGAGCGCCCTCCTCCCTCGCTCTGCTCAGTGCTCTGCACGCCCGTGGGCCTCGCCCTCACCTCCTGTCTCTTTGTGTTTTGTGCAGTGCCTTCTCCCAGTGCCTTGCTAGTAGACAATCCCACACCTTTTGGAAATGCAAAGGAAGTGATCGCAATCAAGGACTACTGCCCCACCAACTTCACCACCCTGAAGTTCTCCAAGGGGGACCACCTCTACGTCCTGGACACGTCCGGCGGGGAGTGGTGGTACGCACACAACACCACGGAGATGGGCTACATCCCCTCCTCCTACGTGCAGCCCTTAAACTACCGGAACTCCACTCTGAGCGACAGCGGGGTGATCGACAATCTCCCAGACAGCCCAGAGGAGGTGGCCAAGGAGTTAGACCTGCTCGGGGGGTGGACGGATGACAAGGGATGCAGCAAAACCTACAGCAATAACCCTTTCTGGAACGGGGCCCAGACAAACCCATTTCTGAACGGGAACGTGCCGGTGACGCCCGGCGTGGACGAGCTGACTCCCAAAAGCACCGTGGATCTGCTCCTTTTTGACACAGGCGCGTCTTCGTTCACGGAGTCCAGCTCCGCCACCATGAACAGCACCAGCAACATCTTCGACGAGCTGCCGGCCGCGAGCCGCCTCCAGGCGGAGGTGCCGGGCAAGCGGGACAACCCGTTCTTCAGGAGCAAGCGCTCCTACAGCCTGTCGGAGCTGTCGGTCCTCCAGGCCAAGTCGGACGCTCCCGACTCATCGGGGTTCTTCACGGGCTTGAAATCCCCGGCCCCGGAGCAGTTCCAGAGCCGGGAGGACTTCCGCGCCGCCTGGCTGAGCCACCGGAAGCTGGCCCGCTCTTGCCACGATCTGGACTTGCTGGGCCAGAGCCCCGGCTGGGGCCAGACGCAGGCGGTGGAGACGAGCATCGCGTGCAAGCTGGACAGTTCCGGGGGCGCCGTGCAGCTGCCCGACACCAACATCAGCATCCACGTGCCCGAAGGCCACGTGGCCCCTGGCGAGACGCAGCAGATCTCCATGAAAGCCCTGCTGGACCCCCCGTTGGAGCTCAACAGTGACCGGGTCAGCAGCGTCAGCCCAGTGCTGGAGGTGAAGCTGAGCACCTTGGAGGTGAAAACCTACATCATCTTGGAGATGAAAGTGTCAGCCGAGGTGAAAAATGACATCTTTAGCAAAAGCACAGTGGGCCTCCAGTGCCTGAGGAGCGACTTGAAGGAAGGGCCCTATGTCCCCATCCCCCTCACCTACAGCTATGGGGACACGGTCCAGGTACAGCTGGACAACCTGGAGCCCTGTATGTACCTGGCCATCGTTGCCCACGGCCCGAACATTCTCTACCCTTCCACGGTGTGGGACTTCATCAATAAAAAGATCACTGTGGGGCTCTACGGCCCCAAACACATTCACCCGTCCTTCAAGACCGTGGTGACCATTTTTGGGCACGATTGTGCCCCAAAGACACTACTGGTCAGCGAGGTCACCCGCCAGGCCCCCAGCCCCGCCCCAGTGGCCCTGCAGCTCTGGGGTAAGCACCAGTTCGTCCTGTCCAGGCCCCAGGACCTCCACGTCTGCATGTTTTCCAACATGACCAACTACGAGGTCAGAGGCAGTGAGCAGGCCAAAGTGGTGAGGGGGTTCCAGATGAAGCTGGGCAAGGTGAGCCGCCTCATCTTCCCCATCACCTGCCAGAACCCCAGCGAGCTGTCCGACTTCACCCTGCGGGTTCAGGTGAGAGGCGACCAGGAGGCCATCCTGACCCAGTTCTGTGTCCAGACTCCCCAGCCGCCCCCTAAAAGTACCATCAAGCCGTCCGGGCAAAGACGGTTCCTCAAGAAGAACGAGGTCGGGAAGATCATTTTGTCCCCGTTTGCTGCCACCACCAAGTACCCGACTTTTCAGGACCGCCCGGTGGCCAGCCTCAAGTTCGGCAAATTGCTCAAGACCGTGGTGCGGCAGAGCAAAAACCACTACCTGCTGGAGTACAAGAAGGGCGACACCATCGCTCTGCTCAGCGAGGAGAAGATCCGGCTCAAGGGGCAGCTGTGGACCAAGGAGTGGTACATCGGCTACCACCAGGGCAAGGTCGGCCTCGTGCACGCCAAGAACGTGCTGGTGGTGGGCAAGGCCAGGCCGAGCCTCCTCTCGGGGCCCGAGCTGAGCACATCGGTGCTGCTCGAGCAGATCCTGCGGCCGTGTAAGTTCCTCACCTACATCTACGCCTCCGTCAGGACCCTGCTCATGGAGAACATCGGCAGCTGGCGCTCCTTCGCCGACGCCCTGGGCTACGGGAATCTGCCGCTCACCTTTTTCTGCCGGGCAGAGCTGGACAGCGAGCCCGAGCGGGTGGCCTCTGTTCTGGAGAAGCTGAAGGAGGATTGTAACAACACGGAGAACAAAGACCGAAAATCCTTCCAGAAAGAGCTCATGATGGTAAGTGCTCAGCAGGGGCCCGGGGCCGAGTCCAGTCTCACCGCCTCTCCCTGCGCGTGTGTCTGGTGAATCACCGGACCGGCGTCTGGGCACATCTTTGCTTCCCGAGATGCACAGGGTGGTGTGTTTGTGCGGGGCCTTTCGGGAGCCCCAAACAGCTCAAGATCCACCATGGAGAGCACCGTCCAGGTGGCTTCCTGCTGGATTCGCGAGCTCCTCGGAGGTCTCCGATGGATCCCCGAGTGCCCGGTGGGGGTGGGGGGCACAGCAAGACTTGCATTCCAGTCGCCCCTGTTTTGATCTCTTGGGAGAGGATCCATGTTTCATCAGATTCCCACCAGGATCTAGGACTCTGACGTTTTTCAGAACTGCCGCCCCAAAGTCTAGCTTTACCTTGATACGAGTTTTCCTCTCCTCGAGGCCTCCATGTTTCTTCTTCTGCCTCCCTTTTGTGTGTGTGAGTAGGGGTTGAGGACAGCCTCTGTTTCTCCAGCACGACTGGGAATTGGCGATCCTGAGAGGCGGAAAGGGGATAGGATACGCCCGGGCCGCTAGCCAACGGGGAAAGCATTCTCTGGACCCCAAATGGCCTCCCACGGCCTGGGCTCTGCCACCCTCTCCCAACTGTTCGTGTGCTTCCGGTGGCCTGTCTTGGAGTAGCTGACTTGGAGAAGCTTGATAATGTTCTTCTCTTGGCGTCCCGCCTTGCCTCTGGTGGATGTTCTGTCTATGGCAGAAGCCACCTCTGTTCCCTTCCCCATCTTCCCGATAGGGACACATCCCTGGGCTTTTTCCTACAGACACCCTTGTGATTTGGTCATAGGCGTTCCTTCCTTGCTCCACCAGGCTCCACACAGCCTTTTTGCCTCCTGACTTTTGTAAGAGGTGAGCCTCGGCACCCCCGGAATTTCTGCCACTTGTACTCTTCCCTCTTCTACCCGGCACCCGCCATGCGGGGAGAGCGCCTCTAGGACCGGATGAGCCGGGTATGTGCGACCTGCGCGTGCACGGGTTGACGTGGGCGTGCATCTGAGGTCCGTCCGTGGCACACGCGGCTCTCGGCTGCCCTGGGAGCCGGGAGCCAGAAGGGATGCAGTCCACTGCGGGGAGAAGGCATTGCAGCCTGCCAGTGGCTCCTGGAAATACAGAATGCCAGGTGCATGCAGCAGAATGAGGCCCGACGTTGCCCAGGAGAAGGAGGTGGGAACCGGAAGTGGCGAGTAGAGGGGCGATCTTGGCAACAAGGGGGGGGGGGGCCTGGTGATGGCAGCATCAGTGGGGAGGAAGCTGGATCATCATGGCTGGGGAGGGGCGGAGGCAGCAGGGGAGCATCCCCGCCCCCTCCCTGCAGGATGGTCCTCCTCTCGCCGGCCCTGCGGCTGTGGATGCACCCCCTGAGCTGTGGCAAGCCCGCAAGACCTAGTGTCCCCTCGGATGGACCCGGCGCAGTGGGCAGGGGCGCAGGGCCCTCTCCAGGGCCTCAAGCTGGGATTCGCTGTGGATTATAAAATCGGGTGCTTTCATGGAACATAAACAATATTGATGGTTCCTTCATTACAGCCTAAGAAACCCTCACCTCCAGTGGGTAGAGGAGAGAAACGGGACAGTGGGAGTGGCCCTTCCTCACTGTGGAAGAGTGATGACTAAGGAGGCCGTTTGCTTACCCCTGTTGCCTCACTTCCTTTCAGGTCTTTTCAGACTTAAATGGTGGCTCTTTCTCTTCCACGTGGGGGGCTTCTCTGACAGCACATGTTTTGGGGGCCGTCCCTGGGTTCCTATCGTGAGGGATGGGAGTCCCATCCCCAGGCAGGTTTGCTCGGAGGTTTGCAGTGTTTCCCTTGCTCGGTTCCTGGACTAAATCCATCACCATCCTGAGAGCGGGCAGATTAGAATGTTGGCCAAATCTCTAGAAACCACAGGCTGATTTGTCCCCACGTGTTTCAGGGGTCGCTGGAAGCTGGGTTTCATTTCTCCCCATGCTCAAATCTCTGAGCGGTGGCTTCCCGCAGCCTCGGTGGGTCCGCCCGCCCTGCAGCTGTCTCGGCCCCTCGCGTGGTGATGACAGTTTTCTGATCAGATGGGACTCCCTGGTCTGGAAACAGTGAACGCACTTGAAGGGGTAAAGTTTTAGGATGGTGGGTTTGCAGGGAGATGGGAAGGGAGAACAGAGTCGTTCAGTCGTCCCATCGGAGTGGGGTCAGGCCTGGCCCGCGCTGCTCCCTCAGCCCGGAACTCTGCCCCGTGGACTCGGGAGGGAGGCTCTTCCTGTCCCTCGGTGCCAGTCCGCAGGTCGTGCCCTCAGACCTTTCCCACGGCCTGGTGCCCGGGGTCACTGCCCTTCATCGGCCCAGATCACTGTCTGCATGATGCTTTCCCCAATTCCAGGTGGCCTTGGTGCCTGGCGTTTGTGTTTCCTGCTCTTGTCCTCATCGGATTTAAACGTCGTGAGAGAAAGGAGCGGAAACACTCTGACGTCCGAGGAATGAAAGCAAGCATGCCGTGTCCTGCGGTCAGACCGTGCTTCTGCTCTGGGTCTCCGTTTCCGTCCCCTCCTTCCATCGTTGCTTCGAGGGGCGTCTTGAACAAGCACGCGGGCTTCCCGGCGTGCCCCTACCTGCCCTTTCCCACCCAGACTGTGTGCGACCACCGTCAGAGAATGCCCCTCCTGCCCCCGGCTCACCTAGCCCTGCGGTGGAAGCCGCGACTGTCCCTGGCAGAGGACGGCCACCCCGCCGACCACGCCCCCTAGGCCAGATCGAACGCGGCGGGGAGGGGAGGGGCGATGCGGGGCTGCTACAGGGAGTGGGCGTGACCGGCACTGACCGAGGCGAGTAGCCAGGGTGGACGGAGCCCCCGGGGACCTCCTCTGCCGGTAGGACTTGCGGGCAGGCCAGGGAGATGTCGGAATGGGCACTCAAGGATTACTGAGTGGAAGGTATGGGACTGGAGCTTCTGACGCAGAGCAGGGAAGAGCGGCTGCGGGCAGCCAGAGCGAGTGTTCGTACTCGAAGTTCACTCGCCGTTTCTGGGCTGCCTACCGTGTGCTCGGGGGCGATGCCAGCTGCTGGGCTCCCCGAGAACGTGGGCCCCTGACTTGAGCAAGGCACAGAGTGAACATGAGTGCAGGACATACTGGCCGTGAACCCCGATGAGAAGGGCCCCCGGGTAGACCGGGGAAAGGCGAGCAGGCCTGGGGGTGGGGGCTGGTACTGATGCGGGGAGGAAGTGCAGGCGCCCATTTGATGGGGGTGGGGGGCTGTCAGGGGGGAGCCTCAGCGTGGGCAAGGGCCAGGGTTTGGAAGAGCCGAGATGGGGGCAGACCAGAGGCCGCGGTGATCCAAGAAGTTGGTACATGTGGGGCCACCTGGCCCAGATAACACCTGTGCTTTGATCTGTAGGCACAGAGAGGTACAGAGTTTTAGGGGAAGCGAAGGGGAGCCATGCTGGATCCAGGTGTGTCCCTGACCCTTGCCATGCCCCACAGTCCCTGAGCCCCTCAGAAGCTGCCGTCAGTGGGGTACCCTACTCTGAATGTCATTCCTGTGGAACATCAGGAGGACGGCTGGGGGTGGAGGACCTAACTTTCTAGATACTCATTGCTAGATAGACTCGTGTGAAGGAAACGAACAGGCAACTGCATTTTATCAGAGGTCAGCGGTGCGGCCAAATCTGAGGACTGACGGGGGGAAACACCCTTCCAGGTTTGCAGAGATCCCCTTGGCCACTTAGCCTCCATCTGATTCTCACACTTGGCAGCCACGCGAAAGGGCACCTTCTGCAGCCAGGCCTTTCGTTTGTGGCTGCCGCGTGCTCTCTCCCCGCTCCCCTGGCAGGTCAGCGTCAGGTGGCTGGCTGGCCCCGGGGCCTGCGGCCACTCTCACCGCGTCATGGGTGACAGGCTCTGTTCTCTTGCCGCGTGCACGGTGGTGTGGACCTTCACAGCTTCAGGGGCTTGCGTTTGCACAGCTGTCCTGGCTCATCCCAGGTTTTGTTGGGTCCTGAATGGAAAATGGTTTTGTCACTGGGGAGTGCACAGCTGGGAGGGACAGGAAGCGAGTGCAGGTGCTGTTACTGTGGTGACAGACTCCCGGGAGACCCCTCCTCCCTTTTGCCAACCGTGGGTCCCCCGTTGGGCCTCTTGTTTTCTTCACGAAGGGGAGAAACCAGAGCCTGCTCTTCGCTCTTGGCGCGGCATAGTTCTTTCCTGCGTCTTCCGGTGCACTTGGTGGCAAACACGAGCTCGTGTGATTTGTACCGGGAACTATGACAACACTGAAGGAGAGGGCTTGGCTCAAGCTGGAGACGGGAGTAGATCTGGGTGGCCGCCCCCCGGGAGTATGTGCTTGGAAGGTGGCGGACGGAACCCCGAGGGACCCGTTTGTCTAACAGCAGGAGGTATCTTGGTTCAGCGACGTGCTTTCCCGATGAGAGGTTATTCCTGATAGCCGGGATTCCCTCAGGCACGAGACGCAGGGTCCCTCCTCATGGTGGGGAGGGACGGGGGGTCAGCTGGGGCGGGGAGGGAACCATCAGGGGCGTGGGCGGGCCTCCCCGAAGGGGCCGAGGCTGGCGCTCAGAGCGTGGCAACCAGGGGTCATTTGAGTCCAGGGCAGGCTCTTTGGAGAAGGTTCTCTGAGAAAGAGAAAGTTACTGTAGGATACAAATCAAGGGAAGGGCAGCTGTTTGCAGGAGTGGAATAAACCCCAAGCTGATGGAAATGAGGGGCGAACTGGGAGGTTCCAGGGGAGGGGCGGGGGTTGGAGAGGACCATGTGGAGTGACTCTCTGAGAGTCGGGAGAAAAGCCTCCTTATCCCCCCCAGAGTGGGGGCAGTTAGCTAACCACTGCACGTTTGGACAGCTCCTGGGGTTCCTGCCGGGCGGCCCCAAAGCAGGAGGCTCTGCTACCCGCAGTTCATACGGGGGAGGATGGCCCTTCTGATGTTTGCACGTCTTGGGAGTAGAAGCATGGGTGGGATTAATGTACAGCAAACCCCAAATG